CACTAGGCAGAGTAGGAGCTGCCCAAGAGCAGGCCTGAATCTTACCTCTGTGTTCCTAGTGCAGAGCCAGGAATTGGCACAGCTTCTGCTCTGCCTTGGGATATCTTCGGGTGATATCACAGAATTCCAAAATGAAATCAATTTTAATTGAGTTTATTTTAAAAAAGAAGTATATGCGAGGTGTGCTACTTTAGGAAAAAGAATTTTCAAAATTAAATTATGATAGATATCGCCATATTCTAAACAATGACCAGTGGCTTTTTCTGCTGTGGATTTTTTTTTTTCTTTTCTATTTGAGTCAGAATCTTACTCTGTCACCCAGGCTGGAGTGCAGTGGCATAATCTTGGCTCACTGCAACCTCTACCTCCTGAGTTCAAGCGATTCTCCTGCATCAGCCTCCCAAGTAGCTAGGATTACAGGCATATGCCACCACTCCCAGCTAATTTTTTTATTTTTTGGTAGAGGTGGAGTTTTACTGTTGCCCAGGCTTGTCTCAGACTCCTGACCTCAAGTGATCTGCCCACCTTGGCCTCCCAAAGTGCTGGGATTATAGGCATGAGCCACCGCACCTGGCCATGCCCAACTAATTTTTGTATTTTTTGATAGAGCCAGGGTTTCACTGTGTTGGCCAGGCTGGTCCCGGACTCCTGACCTCAGGTGATCCACCTGTCTTGGCGTCCCAAAGTCTGGGATTATAGGCATGAGCCACCGTGCCTGACCCTCATGGCTCATGCCTGTAATTCTAGCACTTTGGGAGGCCAAGGCGGGAGGATTGCTTAAAGCCAGGAGTTTGAGACCAACCTGGGCCACATAGCAAGACCCTGTCTTTATGAGGGGAAAAAAAAACAAAACTGTGCATAGTGTTGCATGCCTGTAGTTACAGCTACTCCAGAGGCTGAGGTGGGAGGATTGCCCAGGAGTTTGAGGCTGTGGATTTTTCATTAAGTTTAAACCAGAAGTTATACACGGCTCTTGGGGGCATCAAAATAGGGACAATATGTATATTAGTAAAAAAAAAAAAAAAAAAAGATTTTATAACTCTTTTCTTACCCAACTCATATTGGATTTGAGGTTAATTTCTGGTTGCATGGGTGTTCTCAAGGTTCCTCCATTAGATTACTAGACATGGAGAAGGGCCCCATTATCCAGCCATATGAGACTCACAGGCTGAAGGTGGGGACAAGGGAGGGTAGCAAATAGTGTTTAAGCCAGTAGCAAATTCAGGGCAGCTCTCAAAGATGAAAGAAAACCTCGGCTTTCGAGTCTCATACAGCACCACAAACATTATCAAGAGCTCTTTGCATGTGATGATGTACATGGGCAGACACAGGTGCTATATTTAGGTATTTTCTAGCCTTAGGATCTTGACCTTGGTGAAGACTAGACTCTTTAGAGGCAATTGAAACCATGCCTCCAATTGGCCGGACACGGTGGCTCATGCCTGTAATCCCAGCACTTTGGGAGGCCAAGGCAGGCGGATCACAAGGTCAGGAGATCGAGACTATCCTGGCTAACACGGTGAAACCCCATCTCTACTAAAAATACAAAAAATTAGCTGGGTGTGGTGGTGGGCACCTGTAGTCCCAGCTACTCGAGAGGCTGAGGCAGGAGAATGGCATGAATCCGGGAGGCGGAGCTTGCAGTGAGCTGAGATCGCGCCACTGCACTCCAGCCTGGGTGACAGAGCGAGACCACGTCTCAAAAAAAAAAAAAAAAAGAAAAACCATGCCTCCCATTATGGCCAGATCAGTATGCTAGTTTCCCAATGACCCTCTAACAAATTGCCACAAATTTAGTGGCTTGAAACAACATGAATTGAGTATCTTACAGTTCTGAAGGTCAGAAGTCCTAATTGGGTCTCACTGGGCTAAAATCAAGGGGTCATCAGAGCTGTGTTCCCTTCAGGAGACTCTGGGGGAGAATCTGCTTTCTTGCCCTTTCCAGCTTCTAGAGGCCACTTCCATTCTTTGCTTTGTAGTTCCTTTCCAGCTTCAAAATCAGCAACGGCTGGTTTTTTCCACACAGCCGCACTCTGACCTTAACTCTTCTGTCTCCCTCTTCCATTTCTGAGGATCTCTGTGATTACACTGGGCCCACTTGGCTATTCCACATCAGCAATTAGAAACCTTAATTCCAATTGCTACCTTAATTCCTCTTTGCAGTGTGACATAACATCTTCAGAGGTTCATGGGCTTAGTATATGGACCTCTTTAGGAACCATTATCTTGCCTACCACAACTTATATCACAGCTGTCTGGGGAGCAGGTTCAACAGCTGCAAGGCAAGCCTTGCAGAGGGCATCTTCACCTTCTGAGACGTGAGGATGACCCAAGAACAGGGCTCATTCATTTGTTCTCTTGTGGTACCGTGCAGCTCCAAATATTTCTTGAGAGCTGTGTCCTAGACAGCCATGCTAGGGATACTACAGTGAACAAAATAAACAAGCTTCCTCAACTTATTTAGAGACTAGAATGGGTATCAGGTATCGGGACTAGGGTATAGGTATAACATAGTCATATGACTGTATAATTTTTAAAAAGCTGTGTTTAGTTCAATAAAGGAGAAGTTCAGGGTGCTTGGAGAAGACTTAATGGTATGTACTGCCTTAATCCAGGTCAGAACGTCTTCCCCTTGAAACTGGTGTTTGAGCGGAGCTGGAAAGGATGAGGGCATGGGGGTGGGGGTAGAGCTCAAGGAGGGCGGCCTGTGCAAAGGCGCTGGCAGGGGAAGGAGCCTGGGGACTTGAAGGAGCTGAGGGATGGCCACTGTGGTTGGAGATCAGAGCCAGAGGGAGACGGTGGCACAAGGGGAGGCTAGAGTGCTTGGTAAGAGCCCAGATCATGTTGGAGAGTCCTGGAAGCTGTGCAAACGGCCAGAGTACCTGGGTATTTAAAATATTTGAATGGCTTTATCTGGGAGGGCTGACAGAGCTGAATGTTGACCAAATGACTTTAGCCGCTAGTGTTATATGAAAAACGGGCTTCAGTGAGGCAATAGTCACCCAATTGTAGCATCTGAGAGACAGTGATTACTTAGATGAGAAGTGGAGAGAGGTGGCTGAAATAGTTCATTTAGGAGCCAAAACTAGCAGGACTTGGTGATGGATTGGTTATGGGGGTTAAGGAAAAAGGTCTTAGGTTTGGAGAAGTAGATTCAGGGCTTAGTAGGACCATGAATTCAGTTTTGGATATGTTAAGGGAATGCTACTTGCATGTAAGCGAGTAAAGACCCACAGTGCCGCCCACCATCTTCCTCCCTGCAAGAGAGCTCTACCCCAGACTCATAAGGCCTCAAATGGCCACAGCGCTGAAGTTAAGAAACCCAAGTTCAGTGGCTGCTTAGAAGAGGGCAAGCCAGCTGAGCTAAGAGCAGCCAGGAGAGTACAGCATGAGAAAGATGTGTCAGAGTGAATATCAAGTGGGGAGGACTGAAAATGGGTCCTGACTTTAAGGATGTGGTAAATTCTAGGGGGGTTTCTGTGATATGGGGGTCAGTGAGGGAGAAGTTTTTTTTTTTTTTTTTTTAAGACAGTCTTGCTCTGTTGCCCAGGCTGGAGTGCAGGGGCGCGATCTCGGCTCACTACAACCTCTACCTCCCGGGTTCAAGTGATTCTTATGCCTCAGCCTCCTAAGTAGCTGGGATTACAGGCATACATCACCACCCAGCTAATTTTTTTGTATTTTAGTAGACAGGGTTTCCCAGGCTGGTCTCAAACTCCTGAGCTCAGGTGATCCACCCGCCTTGGCCTCCCAAAGTGCTGGGATTACAGGTGTGAGCTACTGTGCCTGACCTAGAGAAGCTTTTTTTAAAGTATAGTTAAAGAGTAGGAGAATGAGAAGATGGAGACAGTGGGTGTGGACAGGTCTACAAGTAGAGATAAAGCTATAACTGAAGGAAATGGGATAAGGTTAGGCTATTTGTTTGTTTGTTTATTTATTTATTTAGAGACAGAGTTTCACTCTTGTTGCCCAGGCTGGCAGTGACTCAATCTCAGCTCACTGCAACCTCCGCCTCCCAGGTTCAAGTGATTCTCCTGCCCCAGCCTCCCTAGTAGCTGGGATTACAGGCACCCGCCACCACGCCCAGCTAATTTTTTGTATTTTTAGTAGAGACAGGGTTTCACTATGTTGACCAGGCTGGTCTCGAACTCCTGAGGTCTCGAGCTCAGGCGATCCACCTGCCTCAGCCTCCTAAAAGTGCTGGGATTACAGGCATGAGTCACTGTGCCTGGCTATTTCTGTATTTTAAAGATAAGAAGACTGGGCCCAGTGGCTCATGCCTGTAATTCTAGCACTTTGGGAGGCCAAGGCGGGAGGATTGCTTAAAGCCAGGAGTTTGAGACCAACCTGGGCCACATAGCAAGACCCTGTCTTATATGAGGGGAAAAAAAAACAAAACTGTGCATAGTGTTGCATGCCTGTAGTTACAGCTACTCCAGAGGCTGAGGTGGGAGGATTGCCCAGGAGTTTGAGGCTGTGGTGAGCTGTGATCACACAGCTGCACTGCAACCTGGGCAATAGGGCAAGACCTGATCACAAATAAAAAAGTAAAGATGAGAGGCATTTGAGCATTTGAAAATGCTAATATTCTCAGGGGGCTGGGATGCGGAGATAGGGTATGACTGGCTTTAACCTGGAAGGGTGGCTTCTGCTGTAGCAGGAGAGGAAGGAAAGATGGATGAATTCATCCAGTGGCCTACAGAGGCTTCCTTGACCTCTGCCTTTCACAGTCCTGGTGGAAGCTTTGATGGCTCAGGAGGGGAGTCAGCAGCAGACCATTGATCCCAAACTGAAGATTGTCGTGTGCCTTTGAAGTCAGGGAAAGGTATAGTTTTAGGACTTGTTGGACCAATAATGAAGGTTCTGGGTGTTCTGTGAACCATCACCAGCAAAGAGGGATATAATACTGGTCAGATTTCTGAAGAGGACTGTCACCTGGAGCATTTAATGAGCAAACTTTCTCTTTGGAATCAACAGTGCAGTTCCTTTTTTCCCTCCAGTTTTCTTGCATGTTCTTTGGAGCAGTTTCTTCTGACCAGCAAGAACACTTCAACCACCCTTTCGACAGTCTGGCAAGAGCAAGTGACAGTGAAGAGGACATGAATAATGGCAGTTTCTCTATATTCTAATGCTTAATGATGTCTGAGCTGGCCCACAGCCCAGTGACTGGCTCATTTGCCCCTCAAGCACGAGTTTGCATGTTTAGTGTCTAAAAGAGGTTGTCCAGGACTTCCTTGGAATGGAGGATGGGCTTTTAAACCACATCACCTTGTACAACAACCATATCTAGAAATAGCTGTTTGTCAAGTGTATGTAACTTGCTTTAAATCCATTATGCTACTTGGGAGGCAGAAGAGTTTTCTGTGAAGGAAAAATGCCCATTAGAGTTATTCAATTCAATGCATGTTCACCCTAGAGCTTTTAACATCTTTGCTAGTTTTATAAAGGTATTTAAACTTTATTCAACAGCCATTTGGAGTGCATCAAGATGGCTTGAAATGGAATTTTGTGATTTGTAGTCAGGTATCTTTTGTATTTGATTGCAAACATTTGGATTTTAGTTTTCTCATGTAATACCATGGCCTTTTTTGTCCATTGTTTTTTATATTTTAAGTAGAATAAACCCTGGAAAAAAGATCAAGAATAAAAATATATAGTCACTTTCACTTGGTTTTTTTAGACGGAGTCTCACTTTGTCACTCAGGCTTAAGTGCAGTGGTGCCATCTCTACTCACTGCAATATCTGCCTCCCAGGTCCAAGTGATTCTCCTGCCTCAGCCTCCAGTGTTGGCTGGGATTGCAGGTGCGTGCCACTATGGCGGGCTAATTTTTTGTATTTTGTAGAGACAGGGTTTCACCTTGTTGGTCAGGCTGGTCTTGAACTCCTGATCTCAAGTGATCTGCCCACCTCGGCCTCCCAAAGTGCTGGGATTACAGGCTTGAGCCACTGCGCCCAGCCTGGAGTGTTTTTACGTATTATAAAATTTTATTTCTGGCTGGGTGCGGTGGCTCAAGCCTGTAATCCCAGCACTTTGGGAGGCCGAGACGGGCGGATCACGAGGTCAGGAGATCGAGACCATCCTGGCTAAAGCGGTGAAACCCCGTCTCTACTAAAAAAATACAAAGAAACTAGCTGGGCGAGGTGGCGGGCGCCTGTAGTCCCACCTACTTGGGAGGCTGAGGCAGGAGAATGGCCTAAACCCGGGAGGCGGAGCTTGCAATGAGCTGAGATCCGGCCACTGCATTCCAGCCTGGGCAACAGAGCAAGACTCTGTCTCCAAAAAAAAAAAAAAAAAAATTTTATTTCTTAACCTCAAATTGTTCTGATTTTCAGATGTGATTTTTTATTTTGCAGTGTGATGCAGAAAAAAATTTAATGGAAGTGATGCCAAATATTTCTGTATTATCTGACATAGAACAGTATCCTCCACTGCCAAGACAGCCTGAGTTTGGAGTGGAATAAGGTGGAAGACAAATGTCTCTGTTCTTTGGCCCTTTAAGAGTTAGCTTTTTACCTGTACAAATGGACTAAAAAATCTGGCACAAAACATAGTTATGTAATGTCTTATGATGTGTGCCTCTCCCTCCCCCAAACCTGTTTACAGTCAATTATAACCTGACAAACGAGACTTTTGTAACATCTTATTGTTAAGTCTTTCTGAAACCTTCAAACCTAAGGAAATGTTAACTGGCAAGCAATTGTAGTTTAGACTTTGTGAGAAATTCATAAAGGTGGCGGAGTAGATTAGCATGCTTTAGAACTGTGAATAGAGTTCTAACTGAAACCAGAATGAATTTGGCTCTTGTAGCTTAGTAATGAGTCATAGCTACCCACAATAACCTAATAAAAACTCAAGTTCATCCCAAGATGTTCCTTAGTGAATGAAAATGGGCCTTAACCAAGCTTTTTGTGGTAATTGGCAATGCCCACATAATTTCAACTAAGTCCTTTCACATGGTAGGCTGAAGATTTATGTATCTTATGCTTACACTGATGATTAATACTGAATTTCTGATATTTCTAACAAATGCAGATTTGTTAGACACAGGGAGCTTTTATACACAAGAGTAACTCTGTAGGTCTCTGCTGAGGATAACATTTCTGGTTCATTCATTGAAATAGGCAGAGGGGTTTAGGTCTTGAAAGCATCATCATCAGTAATAGCCTGGATGCAGCATTGGACTATTAAAGATAGTTAACACTAGTGGGGCATAGTGGTTCATGCCTGTAATCCCAGCACTTTGGGAGGCCCAGGTGGGAGGATTACTTGAGCCCAGCAGTTCAAGACCAGCCTGGGCAACATGGTGAGATCCCATCTCTACAAAAAATACAAAAATTAGCCGGGCACTTTGGATTTTAGAATTTGGATACAAAGTGCTAAGTTGAAATACAGTCATCTGTTGCATAACAAAGTTTTGGTCAATGATGGACCGCACAGACAGTGGTGGTCCCATAAGATAATGGAGTTGCCCTATACAGGTGTACCATTTTTTGTCTTTCATACCATAGTTTTGGCTGAACCATTTCTATGTTTAGATATTAAAATGCTTACTGTTGTGTTACAACTGCCTACAGTATTCAGTACAGTAACATGCTATACAGGTTTGTCGCCTAGGAGCAACAGACTATCCATATAGTCCAGATGTGTAGTAGGCTAGATCATCTAGGCTTGTGTCAGTACACAATGATGAAATTGCTAAGGATGCATCTGTCAGAACATCTCTGTTGTTAAACAACACGACTGTACACCAGATTTTTTTTGTAGTTTCCCTCTATACTTCCCTCTATATATGGAAGGTGCAAAGCCTCAGCTGGGAAAAACTTCCATAATTTACATTCAATTGTCAGTCCATATTGATGAATTTCTGAGGAAGCTCACCTGATGTAGTGAAGCAGCCAGTTGGAGCCAGTTAAAGTAGTAGCATATATTCAGTGCTAGAATGACTAGGAGGCTTAGAAATGAGGACTTGAGACGAACAAACTCAGTGTCAAGGGCTGGTGTCTCACTTAGTTACTATTCAAACCAAAAGAAGTACACAGATTAGTATAAATACTATGTTTATTAAATATCTTTACAGTTTATTTAAATGTATTTACAGAACTATTCCTGCATAAGTTATAATTCAGACATCCAAATTCAGGTAATTGCCTCTTGGGTAATAAGACAAATAATGATAGTCTCAACAGAAAAAAAGCAGCTCATTAGTATACACACAGATTCTAATTTGCTTCATTATTTAGCCATCTTTGCCACAAACTACCTGCTAACAGTTAAAATTTTGACATGGACACATTTTAGTTGAGAAGTTCAATTTTGCAAAGAATTTAATTTTAAATAAATAGAATCCAAATATGTTCTGCTTCATGTTTTGTTTTATAAGCAGATTTTGGTTTTTTGATACTGTAAAATTTTTAAAACGCAAAAATGTGATACAGTTTCCAGAGAAACTGAATGCTGTAGCTTCTACCAAAGACAGCTGGTATAAGGTGACCTAAGGAACCATGAACTTACCAAAAGTACAAATGTTTACAGTTCGAGCCAATATCTTGTTTACATTCTCCCAAACACTCAAAGCTGACTCAATAAATTCCCACGATTCCTGCCTAACTTGTTACTTGGTATGGTGGGCTAGTGGTACTGAAGGTGGTTTCCATCTCCGGGCTACTGTCCTATCCAGAACACACGCAGCTGATAGGAGACGATGCTCTCCCATCACGCAAAGCTTGAAACCGAGTTTCTAATCTAGACACAGCCCAACCCCCAGACATGCATACCTGGAATGGATTCTTTTGTGACTTAGTACCCATCAACCATGTCAAGCAAATACAGTAACTCAGGACAAATAACTTGTTCCCCCTGCCTCCCATTTCTTCTTTTAGTTTTCAGAGCCTATAGACTCTATTGCATCTCCATTTGGTAAATTTTTTTTTTTTTTGTGCGCAGGCAGCTTAAGTTCATAGGAAGAAATAAGGTTCTGATATGTTTAGAGTGCACATTTTAAAACAGAACAAAATAAAAATTTCAAGCATGTGATAAAAATATTGATTTTTATAATACAGTATTGCTTTATAAATATAGATGGAAAAGCTATAAACTTTACTGGTCTTTGGTGCATCCAGAGAGGGATAATTTGCCATTTGTAAATTAGAAATCCAAATTTTTTCTTTTGTTATAAAAGTCCATTACATGAGGCAAGTGTGTGTGTGTGTGGGTGGGGGGGGGGCTTAAAATACAATTAACACACACATCAGGTTCAGAATCAGACCCACCAAGTGGTACAGCACAGTAACAACCCATGGAAGCTTGGGTCTGTGACCTGGAAAATTCTACTATGGGTCCAACACAGCCTCTGACCACTGAGAGTAGGAGAGATACTTGTTAAGCAGCACTCCAACTGACCCCCCCGGCAGTCATAAAATTAAGTGCATAACACAAAAAGAACAGGGGAAAATAGAGAAAATATTTTATGTCACTAATCTATAGGCCAGATCCAAAGTCAATTCCACTGTGAAACTCAATTCTTGCCCCACTACTTTCAGTATCACTGGAACAAACACATTGTCAATTTCTAACAATCATTTCTCAAAAAGGTAAGCTGAGTAAATAAGTTGTGTATAACACCACCAATCTAGCTTTACAAAGATTGTGTTTGACAGGTTAAATGAGAGCAGAGAAAAACCAGAAACTTGACGAGCACTGCTCTTACCAGGAATTAAACATAGGCGTTGGAAAATGAATGCAAAATATATCCAGATCATAAGGCTACATACCTCTTACCAAAAATAATTGAAAACCTAAACAAAAGAGCTGAAGTTGTCAATCCTAATATAAATGTCTTCCTTCTAACAAAACCCTTCTGGATGCAACTTTCTTTACTTTTTAAATACACAGAGACTGCAAATAGTTTGTGCAAAATAAATACCCCGCCACTTGCCACTCATGCTTCTGTGTTTTATCATAGCATGATTTCTCCTTAAATAGAGTCTCCCTCCAGACCCCCCACCCCGCCCCCACCTCGTCTACCAAAGAATTCTGTTTTGTCAAGTTAGGGTAGTTAAGGCATTCTGACATGTAATTAAAGGTGATTCAAAATAGATTATCTAACATTATGCCAATTTAGGAATAGTAGATAAATTACTGAACGGCTTACAAATGAATAACTCATTCTTATTATAAATGAAATGCCTGTTACAAGCATGATGCATTGAAATATAGTAATGACATGTACATGGTACATGTTAAACAATTTTAAATAAAAGCTTGACAGTTACTCAAATATACAGTACAAATTCACAAAACAAAATCTTTTAAAACAAGTTGAGGTAACCTCAAACATAAATTTTAATGCAATAAACCAGGGAGTCAGTATCTCCTTTAGAGAAAGACTTTCTATATTCTCAAGTAGATTCTCATCAGGTTTAATTGCATTCTCATCTATACACCAATGTTACCTGACTTATATATAAAACATGGCTTTAATTTAAGGATTTCTAAGTATATATTTTTTTCTACCACCAAGTTAATGAAGGAAAAAACTGACCCAAAAATATATATCTTTACAGCAGTCCACTTGTACACAAACCTTAAAAATAAGTTTCAGCTTGCAGATAATGGGAAAACTGAATGCGGGGTAGTTTTGTAAGGAAACTATACACTGCAAAAT